AAAACCGGGACCACCTCTGGAGGGAAGTGTGTGCCAGGGGCAGTGGGGCCCAAACATCCCCCGTTCACGCCGCAGCCTGGAACCGCGCGCCCACCTTTTGATCTGCCCTGCGCTGCCAGTCCTCGGCAGTGGCTCTCGTATGCACATCCCCTTCCCAGGGACTGCGAGCCCTGGTGCCCCTGCCCTGCTTCCTCTCCCCTTTCTCTGTTCCTCCCAGATGTTCCCCTGAGGAATGTATTTCAGCAAAGGCTGACGTGTGCCTGCTGCCACCGTGATCTCTGCACTGGAGGGTCACTGTCCCTTCTACTAGACCTTGGGCAGGAGGGGCTTGCTTCCCCCTCCCCCGTCCTACCCCCGCCCCTCGCATGGCTGAGACCAGCACTCAGGGTTGCACAGCAGGTTAGTGGCCAAGCTGGGCCAGAACATGATCCTCTGAGGCCAACGCCCTGGGCATCTGGGTGAGGAGGACCCCAGCCTGGGAGGGGTGCGGGAGGCAGGGGGCCCATGATGAGTTTCCAGTATGAGCGGGCAAGGCTTCCCCCCCCCCCTCCACCCCCAGGAGCCCAGGGAAACCCCAGGGACCCGAGACAAAGCACTTCCCCAAGCCTTAGGCCAGCCCTGAAGGGGAATTCTTCTGCTGACGGTGCTGGGCTCTCCCGGGTACCTCCCGGGAATTTCAGGCGGGGCCCCAAGGGGAAGGGGGAGGAGAGCTACCAGAACCTGCTCCTCCATTGCTCCCCTCCCCCTGCTCAGCCTCCTTCCTCCTGCAGCAGACCCCTGAACGGCAGGGACCCTGGTACCCCAGCAAGGCGGTGAGCAGAAAGAAGCGGAAGCTCTCAACCATCACAACCCTTCTGCCCACTCCCACCCCCCACCCCGGCCCAAAGCCCTGGGGCAGGATGTGGTGAGCCCCAGGTGTGTGTGGGAGATCTGAACTCCAAAGCAGAAAAGTTCAAGTGGGTGGGGACAGTGCCCTGGAGCTGGAGCTGCCCCCACAGCCACCCAATCCTAACCTCCTCAGCCCCCCTTCCCCGAGTCACCACTTTGTGCCTTTGTAGGACCCCTCCAGCTCCCATGTAGGCCCTCCGTCCAGACTTTCTTGGAGGACTACAGCTAGGACCCGTGTGTACCCCCCAGCCCTATACTGGGCTTGCCGTGTCTGTGTGTTAGAGCAGATCTGTATGCATTTCCACAACGTCGGAGACAGCTTGCTGCTCTGTGTGCTGAGGGGGAGAGGGGACACAGGTGAGAGAAGCTTTAAGGGCGCCCAAGATGCCTGAGTCACACCACCCTCTGTGCCTCAGTGTCCCCGTCAGAAAGATGGGGGCTCAGAATAGACCAGCTACTAGCCTCACTGGTTCCAAGGCTCTGAGGCCACGGCACTGCCCGAGCACCTGCAGTGAGCTGTCCCTCTCTACCAGGCCCGTCTGGAGGCTGATTCAGCGAAGCCACAGCAGAGCCCGGGAGTCTGGGCCACAGATCCCGGAGTCCGATATGGGCCTTATCCTTGGCATCAGTCTGCAGATGACTTAATGGCTGATTCCAGGGGCAAATTACAGAGCACATGAAAGGATAGTCAGGCCCAGGCTTGCTGACCACGGGGCTGGTGGCACCTGCTGTGCTGGGAGTCCTGGCCTTTCAGCTCCTTGGGGAGGGGGAGGGAGGGCTGGCAGGCTGGGATCCTGGCTCCGGAGGAAATCAGCTGGGCAGGGCGGGGCCTCCTGGGGAGAACGGTGACCTTTCTGGAAGTTTCCCCGTGAGAGTGGGAGCGCACTGCTGAGGTTTGCTCCCGTGTCACAGGCCCCAGGGCCCTGCCCACCACTCTGGCCAGAAGCAGTGATTTCTGCCTGCCGTGGCTACCTGTGTGCAATGCCACTTGCTTTGGGGCTTTTCAGCTCTGGAACACAGGCTCAA